GTGCGTGAATTCAGAAAAACAATCCAACAGAGTCCAGCAGTCCACAATAGTAGTGGGTTATCCGCAGAAGTTGTTGACTTGAGCCTTTCATAGCTCAGCATATTAATATGGCTTTACTTTATATACCTCATTTTTATACTTTTCTGCTGGATGGTTAAGACCAAGATAAAGCAAAACCTACATAACAAGAAATGTAACTTTTGTATATGATAAGGTCAGTCAGGTACCCTCAGGATTTATCCTGTAACCCTGTACCGCACTTTGTAGATTCTCTGTCAGTGTCAGTCATGTGGATGAGTCACGGCCATTACTTGACCAATTTGCTCTGTGAAATCCTGAGAGAATGTTTTCTCTCCATGTGACTCTCCTTAGGTAGTGCCTGAATTTTAAAAGTAAGAGTTGTATATCTTAAAACAAGGAAGTGTTACTTATAATATGAGGAAATATGACATCTTTTGACAGTTTTTAAAACATACTATTACAAGTTAACATTACCACCTATGACTGACTACTTGAAGAATATCATGTCAATGCATGTATTTTTATTATATACCTGTATAGCTGAGTCAGAATCAAGCACAGTTTTTAAGTTATTTAAATGTCATTTCTGTGATCTCATGAAATATAGAGTACCTGAAATGAAAAAAGAATAAAATAGCCCTCTTCATTTGTTTCCCTGCAGAAGTTAGAAAGTCTGTAAATTCACATGCGAGACAAAGGAATTGCCTTGAACCTAAGTGGTAATTTGTTTATGCTGAATACATTTTCTCTTATAAATTTCCAGAGTGAACAGAGGTATCCAATGAGAAGTGATTAATACATTTCAGCAAAGCTTCTCTTCAATATATTTAACTACTGATACTAAAAATTATTCCCAGTCTTGTATGATGGAGTCAGGTGTCCTGAATGATAATTAAGGCCTTTGCCAAATTAAGGAAATGGCCTATACTAAGTAATCGCCATTTCGCCCTTCCTTGGAGAGCTTAGATGACAGAGTTTAAGGTGTCACACACTGTTAAGTAGAGAAGGTGGTGCTGACAAAAAGACTTCATAAACTTTTACTGGAAATGTTTTACCAGAGAACTGCTTTTCTCAGGATTCATTTCCTATCGTCCACTGGGGAGAAAGTCACCAAAGAAGAAAGATGTCTATATATTTTTATATTAAGAAAGAACAACTTCTCGATGAGAGAGCTACAACATTTTCATTTTTGGAGAGGATCAAAATAATGTTTTTTGTTTTGCTTCCTTTTATTTTTAACAACTGGCCAGGTGGCATACTAAGGCATTACAGGTAAAAAGCAGATTAGCCATACAATGATGAAGAGCTGTATTTCTGAGAAAATGTAAGCTATTTTATGCTTCATAATCTGAAAGCATATCCCATTTGTAGCCATAATTTATCTTGAAAAACTTTCATACATGCACCACTCCAATTTAATAATTATTAAAGTTTTAGAACATTTCATTAATCTGACCTTCTCTTTCCTATTGTATTTGTTAAATTATTTTCAAATCATTTCATATGACTGGCAGGGGAGATGGCTCAGTGGAAATAAGCACTTTCCTGGCAAGCGCAAGGGCCTGAGTTCAATCCCCAGTTCTGGGGGAAAAAAAAGAGTAAGTCACATGATTTCACCATGCTTTTACAAAATTATTAGCACATTCTAACAAAACCGTAATGTAATTATCACATCTAATAATTTTAAGAATGATTCCTTAATAATACCTACAACCCCAATCCATATTCAGACTTTCTCAGTGGTCTTAAAATAACATTTTTTCTCTCTAAAATTAACTTTGGATGCAACTGTAAAACATGGTGGCGTTTTAGCAAAATTGCATACAGTTGGTCTGTTATAGACTGAGTCTGTGTGACAGGAAACCGTGTCTCTACTACACTCAAGTGAGTGGAGCAATCGTGACTATGTGTAGAAGAATCCTGTGGTGAGATGTAGAAACAAGTGTTGCTGGAGCCGGGGAGACAGCTCAGTAGAATAAGCGCTTGTCTTGCAAGTGCAAGCGCCTGAGTTCAATCCCCAGTTCCACCAAATAAATAAATTAATTAATTAATTAATTAAAAAGAAACAAGTGTTGCTGTAATGAAGGGTCTGTTATTTCACAAATGCGTTATTTTTTTCAAAATTTTAACAATCAGTATTTCATTGATTTTTTTGATTTTACATAATCTATTTATTCAACTTGAAAAACATGAAAGAAAATATTCAATGATGTAAAAAGATTTAGATTATCATGAAATGATTTCAATTTGTGAAATTATGATGATTTGGAAAATCATA